CATTAGGAGGTTTTGGATTACATGTGGCTGGCAGAAAGCTTTGCAGGTTGGTGACAACACCTGGGAGTGGGTTTGCAGTTAGTGGTCTCTTTGAGGAATGGGTCGCTGGCCTGTCAAGTTCAAAGCACGAGTATTTGCTGCCTAGGGGAGAGTAAGGAACTGAAATTATCTGCAACTCTCAGAGACTAGCTTTGGAGGGATCTTTCACTTTTCTTTAAACTCTTACTTGGTACTGACACCATTCCAGAGAATAAAGCCATGCTCTTGCCATCAGTCAGCAAATAGTAAGAAGTATGTGTCTTACATGCTACATGCTTGCAGAAATTAGCAAGTACACAGCACACTGTCTGTCTTCAAAGGGCTAACGACTTTACCAGGGCCATAACACCAGCCTATTAAATGACTACTGCAAAGTAGTAGGCAGGTGACATTTAAGTACCAAGTTTTGTGTGCCTCAAATCATAACTGTGGTGACAGTTGAGGGAAGGGAGACCAGTTGGGGGGTGGGGGGTTGGTGAAGGGCATTCTAGAGGAGGTAAACTGAAGAGGTGCATTTACTGAGATGAACTTTAAAGTAGTTACGGGTGCATGTGAAGCCAGAAGATGGCACTTGGAGAATGAGGATGACATGTTCACAGGATGCTGGGATGCTGAGGGGACCAGCAAGACTATACACAGCTAGAGGGGGACCCTGTTTATAGACAGTCTTGAAAACCACACAAAATTCCACCCTGAAGTTATAGCCGAAACCATTATGTATAAGGGACTGGGATGCTGGAAGTGGAATTTAAGGACAAGTGATTTCCCAGTTTTGTGTATTGTATGACAATGGAGTGACAGTTTCATGTCCTCCAGGGTTTAAACTTCATGGAGACTTTCAGCCTGTTATATTATTGGCAGGTGGTCAGATTCAGGAACTTACCCTCGGGAATTAATAGTTCCACTGGCAGGTGGAACAGAGGAGTGGCTCACCATGGTTTTTGTTGCTCCTCTTGCCTCCCCCAGACAACTCACTTCATTTACTTTAATTCATTTTTTTCCTTTAACAATGAAGTCCTTGTTATTGCTTCTCTTGAGTAGGGAAAACAGTCTTGTTCAGAGTCACATTACCTAAAGGCCTCTGGACAGTTACAAAGAAAGTAATGCATAAAACCATATGGGAAGGAAGTTTTCAGTGCTTCGGAAAAGCAAGCCAAAAAGCAGTCATGTGTAGAGAGAGAGAAGCAAAGGAGTTTTCATGTTGACAAATGACATGCAGATTTTGTTAAGAAAAAGGAATCATTCTTGGTAAAATGGGTGCTAGGCAATATAAGGCAGAAATGTTGCACCCTTAAACTAAAATGTTAGAATTTCACCCTTTGTTGAGTGCAGCAAAGACAGATCTGTAGGTTTCCTTCAGGGTAGCAGCCCTAGGAGCTGCACTTGCTCTTCCCCAGTGGGAGACCCCAGAGAGCTGAGTCCTTTACTCAGACCTTAGCTTATTTTCTATTGCTTTTGCCACTTTCCCTATGCAGACTAAAGCTGTATGAGTGGTGATTCTTAGATAAGGTTCCTAAAAGTTGCCTACAAAGTCCAGAAGGGCTTATATGGGAATAGTATTTATGAAGCCCCTATAGGCAGCTACACTGTACATAGAACACACTGTAGAGCCAGCGGGGTCCTTGGCAGGCTGTGGGCTCCCCTAAAAACTGGTATTGTTGCTCAGCCCCTGGGACTACAGGGGCTCTACAGGGGCTTTCTGGGTGGTAGTGATATCCGGGAGGCTTCTGTGGTTTCTCACAGCTCTCACTCCTTGTTATGAACTTCTGACATAGAAAACAGCAGTACCTCTCACGCCGAGGTTTCTTTCCAATTCCTCATTCAGATATCCTTGACCTTGTTGCTTAGACCATGTGCCCTGCATTTTGCCTAAGAAAGTAAAATGTGGCACATTTACACCATGGAATAATATGCAATAGTAAAAAAGGATGATTTCATGTCATTTGCAGTGACGTGGAGGAAGCTGGAAACCATCATTGTCAGCAGACTAACACAGGAACAGAAAACCAAACACCACATGTTCTCAATCATAAGTGGGAGTTGAACAATGAGAAAATATGGACACAGTGAGGAGAACATCACACACCAGAGCCTGTTGGGATGTTGGAGGTGAGGGGAGGGATAGCATTAGGAGAAATACCTAATGTAGATGACAGGTTGATGGGTACAGCAAACCACCATGGCATGTGTAACAGACCTGCACATTCTGCACATGTACTCCAGAACTTAAAGTATAATTTAAAAAAGAAAAAAGAAAGTAGACTCAATTTATGCTGCAGGAATTCCCAGTGAAGACAGTGAACTAAAATAAAATAGGCAAGGAAGGTTTAGATACATGTAGGATGGAACTGTGAACTCTGTCAGATTTTTTGCTGTGTTGACCCTGGAATCTGAGGTGGACTCTGTAACACACATTATCATCACTTTTCCTTGTCTTTCAAGTGAGAAAGCTAGCAGTTAAAGTGACTCCTTCAGGCTGTGTCAGTGCTGGGCTAGCTCGGCCGGTTGTCTCTTGGCTTTAGTGGAGTGTTTGGCACCTGGGCATGTCCGTCTGCCGGGTCTCATGTCATCTGCTCGGCTCTCCAGCCTTTCTTCAGCACTGAGGAGCGGTAGGCAGCAGTGGGAGTATAACTCAGTGAACGTGTGGGACCCTGGGTGTGAGTTAAGACAAAGTCCTAAGTGATCTTTGGCATGTCTTAACAGTTAGGCATCCTGTCCTTCAGTGTGAATGCAGGTGTGGGGGTGGTGTGTGTGAAATGCTTTAGTTCCTTCATAACGTTGAGGGAACAATACTGAAGGGTGAAGGCATATCTTTGGTGTCCTCTGTGCTCCAGCTTCGCTTCAAGGACTGCCCTCTTTGTAGTGTTCTGTGGTCTGGAGTTGAACCCTCTCTCAGTTAGCTGGTCATGAGATAAGGTGTGGAAAAGTAATTCATACCAACGTTATAGGGACTGTGAATAGCTTAGTGCTGGGGTCCATACTGAGCTCCACATTGAAGGCACACACACACACACACATACACCCTACACTTTTCCTAATATGCATGTTCATATATATATGTATACACACACAGATATGTGTTTTAGTTGGATCTCAGTTTTATTACCAGTTTACTCTGTCTCTAACATTCTTAGTCATGGTCATGTGACTAGATAGCATCACCCAAAGTTGTAATATGCTGGCACATAGCATTCCTGACTCTGTCTATTTTAAGAAAACACCATACTTTCTTTGATTGAAGCATATGGGCTCTCAACTTCTCTCTTACTCTGATTTGGTAGGGGGATGGGGTGAAGGCACAGAAAGGTGTTTTGTGGTTTGGTTTTTTATTGTGCTTGTTCTCCCTCTTGCTTAGAGCTTTGCCAAGTTTCGCTGCACATTGGATTGATTGGAAGAACTTTATAAAATACAGGTGTCTGGGCTCTATCTTCAGAGATTCTGATTGAGTAGGTCTGGGAGGCCTGGGTGCAGAGATTTAAAAAGTTTCTAAGGTGATTTTAATGTGCAGCCAGAATTATACCTTGTACCTTTTTCATTTTCCACCTGCCTGAAAGGAAGCCAGATCAGGACTTGCCTTTGTGTCCATGATTCCTACTAATTTTAGCCCTAGACTTCTAGATTTATAGATAATGCCCAGAAAGGGGCTGAGTTTCTTTTCAGGTTAGTCTTTGCAGCTTGGCCAAGAGGAGAAGGTGGACAGACACTGTTATGCCCTGGAACTATAGTTTTAGACTGATCTTCAGATAGTGTCATTTGTACTCGGTTTATGTTCATCTTTAAGGCTGGGCGTTACAACTAAATTATTTATTTTAAATTTATAAGGTAAATATTCTTATCAGAATCCCTTTTCTTTCTAGTCCAAATGTGCCTGTAATACATGTAAGCACACATGTAAATACTGTTTCACATGTTGAAGTAAAGAAACTCAGGAAGAAGATGAAGCCATTCCCATCTTATGGCCTTTTGGTATCAATAATTAGTCACTTACTACTAGCTTTGGCCTTGTGGAAGATGGGTAGATAACAAACCTACTGAGAAATTTCAAATTACCGGTTTGAAGCCATTGCTGAAAAACAGAATTTTTCTTTTAATGGAATTATCTTTTGGGCAAAGATGTTGATTTTTTTTAAAAAGTACTATGATTCTTTCCCCAGAGTAAAATAAGTTACTTTTGCTGAAAAGAGCCTTAAACTTGGTGCCCACGCAAAGGAATCAGTGCAGAGAGAGAAAACAGCCTGGGCTCACTCTGCTGAATGTTCCCACGGTGGTTGTGTGTGCAATATCAGTGTTACTGTAGCACTATCTCATGTTCAGTGACTGAAGGACTGAACACACTGTCATGTTTAATTGGAACAGGAAGCACACTCCAGTTTGTGTATGAAGCAGATAAACTGGAGCTGAAAGGCTGGTGCTTGGCAGAAGACCAGACCCAGTAGTCCCAGCTCCATGCTGTAACATGAGACTCCAGAAGCCTTTGAGTGGGCCAGAGAGTATGTTCTCTTGCTAACACATGATGTGTCAGAATGACCACTCCTCTCTNTTATATATTTTGAGAGACAGCTGCTCTTCCCATTTTAGCTTTGCTTCACTGGCCTCCCCACTTACCTTCTTTCTGTCCCCAACCTTGACCATTCAGAACTTCGTGGCACATTCAGTCCCGAAGACTTGACTTTTGCTGATGCTTCTGCCGCCCTTGGAACTGGGTTGTGTGAGAGCATTAGAGCATTTGTGCCTTTGCTCAGCGTGTCTTGAGGACTGTTACATTGACCTCACGGGTCATTTTGGTGGGTGGCTGGACTTGTGATAATTCTGAATAGTAACTTTGGAATTTTCTGAATCAAAAAAACATAGCTCCCTCTGCAAGTCGAAATGCTGTGGGAGAATGCCTGGTGGGTTCTCGTGAGTCACGCACAAGGACAGAGAACTCGATTGGCACTCATACTTCACTTTCTTTCCCCCAGGTCCCCCTCCTGCTTGTTATAGCCCTGTCCAGGTTCTAGAAGACTCCAATTACTTTTCCCCAGACTTTCAGCTCTATTCTGGGAGGCATGAAACATCTGCTTTGACGGTGGAGGCAACCAGTAGCATCAAGGAAAAAGTTGGTAAGTCCTTTTACTGGCACTTGTGTTGGAAAAGCAAAATGATCTTACATTTCTCATCTTTAGCTCTTTTGCATAATTCAGATGTTTATTCTCTAATCTTGTTTTAAAAATCATCATATTGGATTATTGATTGTCTGTTGGTAGATGCCTTATTTTTAATCATGTTTTGGTATGGTGTTAAGACTGTTTTACTCTGATATGTGACTTTCTCTGAGAGCATCATACCTAAATATGTAGGAACCTCAGAATTATACTACTTATTTCCAGTTTTTCTCTGATTCCTAAATAATTTTTCCTACCCTTTCTCATAATCTCATTTCTTTTTTCCTTCTCTGCTTTCATTTTTATCTCTTTTTGCAAATAATTTAGAAGTTAAAAGAAGTAATTCAAAACTATAGCAAGGAAGGAGCTTTTCCTTTGTAAAAACTTCCTATCAATTTTTGAGGGCTTTTTGGTTAAACTGTGAGGAAGTCTTTAAACCACTTTAGGGAAGGATGTCATGGTTCTTGCTAAACATGCTTATAACTCACTTCTCTCTTACTTCAGTGAAAGGGGAATTCAATAGTTTTCATGCTTGTTGAGATCTATTCCTGTATTATTCATCCAAATACATCATTTTCCTTCGGAAATATGTTTTGATTTGAATTTTTATTCATTTTATTTAAAAATTTTATTCTTATTTGAATGTGCTTGTTCCATTAAGCCTTTCAGATCAATTACTCTGAGGGTAGGACTGTACTCTCTTTACTCTTGTAACCCCAGCACATGTCCCAATGTCTGAACTGTAACACATTTTTAGTAAATATGGTAAAGTGAAAGAGCAGACCAGTCCAACCCACATTGATCCATCTTTCCTTGGGTAGTTAATGGCTTATTACAAATATTTGGCAATTCATCTTGTGTGGAGTTTAATAGTTTGTTTTTATTGTTTTTTACTGTTGAACCTTGGGTTTCTACCCCAGTTATAGTATTGATTCTCTGAAGGTAAGGGATAAGTTTCAGCTTATTTCTAGTCTAATCCTATGAGGCAGATATGAAAGTCTCTCCATTTTTTGGAGGTGAGAGGTTCAGAGAAGCCACAAAGGTGAAAGTTTGGGGATAAGGGTGATAGGGAGAGCCTTATGATCAAAGTTGAGCTTCAGAAATCAGGCTGTAAACTCCCTTCGTTTCCTCAATAATCATGTCCCAAATGCCTTCTGTGTATCTCAGCAGGGTTCAAGGCACTGGGGAGGCAACACGTGATTATAACAGATGGTGCTCTCTGCTCTATCTGGCAGAGGAAGACAGGTCATAATATAATATGGATTGAAAGGAGAAGGAGCCAGGGGCAAGAGATATTGAGAGGCCATTCAGGATGTCTAAAAGGCTGGTTAGGAGAGTTGGAACCCAGAGAGTGACTGAGGGCACGGAAGAATGGACTGGATGGGGGAGCTTGTTGGTGTAGAAACTAGGGCTTGGTTGTGATTTTTAACTGTCATAAATGTGAAATTTCTTAATGAAAATTAGGGGACCAACACGGAATTACAGTATTTTGCTATTGCAAGGACAGTAACAATGTCATTTGCTGTCACCTTTTTTCATATTTTAATACCAAAAAAGTAAGAAGGATGTGATCCTTGACAGTTCTTGCCCCAAAAAGGACAGTTTTAGACCTTCTAATGCATACATCTATATACATACACATATAGATGTGTTAATATATGTGTATTTATATATTTTGTATATAAGCATATCATACCACCTTCATTTTTTTTTCTCATTTCATTGTGGACTGAGAAAAATCTAGCTTGACAGTTGATTAAATGTGGAGAGCAAAGAATAAAAAGGTCAAAAGTGAATATGACATTTCTATCTGAATGACTCATGTTTGAGAATGTCATTTATAGGAAAAAAAGATGAATTTGGGGAAGAAAGACTGTTTTGGGAAAATAATGTTCTGTATGTATACATTAAAACATAGAGCCATCATTACATGCATTTGTAGGAGTGAAGGCTGCCTAGAGATGATATAGTCCAGCTCTCGGTTTACAGAGGAGGATATTGAGGCTCAGGGAGGGAAAACAGTTTGTTTAAGGTCATGCCAGTAGTTAATAGTAGAATTTTTACTTTCATAATGCTATAATAATATTCTTAATGCACTACTTAATAGTCCTGTTGTGAAATGGGCTAAATATTATATTTCATGGAGGTCATGTAGATATTCTTTTATTGGTTAAATATCTGAGGCCCTATTACATCCAGGCATTTGGCTTTGTTCTAGGGAGACCCAGATGAGATGACATAATCTTTGCCTTTAAGGAGTTTAGAGTCTTTTATAAATAAATAATTGCCATCTACTGTGAGAATTGCTGCAAAGGAGGTATATATAAATGGAGTGGGGACATGGGAGAAAGAGGCTCAAGCCTGCAGGGCTGCAGCAGGAAAGGTTTTACTCAGAAGGTAGCTTTGGAGCTATCACTTGTCTAAGAATTTTCCCAAGAGACATGGTGAGATGCCTCTTTTCTAGGCAGAGAGAAAAAGGCAAACAAAGGTTCAGAGGCTGGAGAGAGCTAGCATGCCTTAGAAACTATATGTACATGGGTATTTATGGAGCTTAAATTCCAAAGGGTTGCCAGTGGGAAGTGGGAGCAGCATGAAATGTTTAGGTAGGTAGTATCTGCTATACCATGTGATAGAATGCCAGTTTTATCCTGTAATTGATTATCCAGGAATTTTGGTTCAGAAGCGTGACATAATTAGATTTATTTATTGGAACAATCTTTCAAGTAGTGTGCCAGATAGACTGGGGTCAGAGGGCTGCGTTTAGAAGTGGGAATAAGATGAGTGTCAGGGAAATAGATAAGGAGACTGTTGGAATGACCTGGGCATGTGATGCCAAGGGCTTGTAATGTGGAATGAACACAAACTTGGTGTCATATCCTGGTCTGCCTCTTCCTGCCTGGTTGCCTCGGCAATTTACCTCTGTAAACCTCTCTGCTCATTTGTAAGTTAAGGGAATTAATATCTACCTCTTAGTGTTATATGTGGAATGAATGAAATAACACATGGAGAGAATTTAGTATAATACCTGACACATCATATACATGTTTAAAGTAGTTCTTATGGTTATGTTAAAGTTATTAATGGTGAACTTGGAGATTGGCACAGGTACAGGAAGAGGGTTGGCAGGATGTTGAAAAGGTCAAATTGACAGGTAGTGGCTGTCTGGGTGTTGGGGGTAAGAGAGAGGAAGGAATTTTGGAAAACTTTCAGTTTTCTGGCTTGACAGAAAGTAGATGATGCAGGGAATACAGGGGTTGGGATGGGTGGGTAACCATTCAGGATGAGGAAGACATGTTGAGTTAGAAGTACTCAGGGCCATTGTCTGGCAGTTGTAGATGTATGGGTCATGAGTCAGTAGTTGATGATGAGTGGTAGGTGTGGTGTCACTGGGAGGCATGTAAGGGTGGAAGAGCACTCAGGACAGAGCTGTGGGAAACACCAGAATTTAAGAGACAGGTGAAGAGAAGAGAGCCCGAGATAGTGTGTAGAGAGAGGCAGGAGCCAGGACCAAGAGGAGGGATGACCTGGAGGCCGGATTAGGAGAGCATTGCAGGAAGAGGGCGACCAACCATGTCAAATGCTTCAGAAAGGTTAGGTGAGTAACAGGATAACTGGAAAATTCTCATTGGATTTGGTTATTGATCAGAGCAGTGGGGAGGGTAGTGGATGGAGCATTTGGGAAGTGGAGACAGCAAGTATAGGGCACTCACTGAACACAACTAGAAGAGAAGGAAAAGAGAGATACAGGGTGGTAGTTGGAGGTATATGAGAGGGCCGAGGAAAGGTGGTTTCTTCTGGTTTGATTTTGGTTTACTCTTGTATTACTTTTTTAAGCTGGGAAAGATTTGAGTATGTTTATGTGATAAAGAGAAAGGGTCAGTGGGGAGATTAGAGGAAAGGGAGGAGTTGAAGGATAGAACAGTGTGTAGGAGAAAGCAAAGGAGAGGGAGTGGGGAATATTAGACTCATTTTGAATAGGAGAAAAAATTCCATGAGACATTGCCAGGTAAATGGAGGTGATGATGTATTTGAAATCTTACCTTTAAATGTTGCTGTAGTTAGAATGTTAATTATGTACCACATAGTCACAGACATATCTCCTGTGGAACAGCCTGATATATTTTTTCCTATGTTTATCTTTTAGTTGAAGATCCTCTTTGTAACTTCCACTCCCCAAACTTCCTGAGGATCTCAGAGGTGGAAATGAGAGGTTCCGAGGATGCAGCAGCTGGAACAGTATTGCAGCGGCTGATCCAGGAACAACTGCGCTATGGCACCCCGACCGAGAACATGAACTTGCTGGCCATTCAGCACCAGGCCACAGGGAGTGCAGGACCAGCCCACCCTACAAACAACTTTTCTTCCACGGAAAACCTCACCCAAGAAGACCCACAAATGGTCTACCAGTCGGCACGCCAAGAACCGCAGGGTCAAGAACACCAGGTGGACAATACGGTGATGGAGAAACAGGTCCGGTCCACGCAGCCTCAGCAGAACAATGAGGAACTGCCCACTTACGAGGAGGCCAAAGCGCAGTCGCAGTTCTTCAGGGGGCAGCAGCAGCAGCAGCAACAGCAGCAGGGGGCGGTGGGCCATGGTTACTACATGGCAGGGGGTACCAGTCAGAAGTCCCGAACTGAGGGGAGGCCCACTGTGAACCGTGCCAACAGTGGACAGGCGCATAAGGACGAGGCGCTGAAGGAACTGAAGCAGGGCCACGTCCGCTCACTCAGCGAGAGAATCATGCAGCTGTCCCTGGAGAGGAATGGGGCCAAGCAACACCTTCCCGGCTCGGGGAATGGAAAGGGCTTCAAAGCAGGAGGGGGGCCTTCCCCTGCCCAGCCTGCAGGCAAAGTGCTTGACCCTCGGGGTCCTCCACCTGAATACCCCTTCAAGACCAAGCAAATGATGTCCCCGGTCAGTAAGACCCAGGAGCACGGGCTTTTCTATGGTGACCAGCACCCTGGGATGCTCCATGAGATGGTCAAGCCCTACCCTCCTCCTCAGCCTGTGAGAACAGACGTGGCCGTCCTGCGGTACCAGCCACCCCCTGAGTACGGGGTAACAAGGTGATTATCAAGTGTAGAGTTGCACTGGGCTTTTCAAGATTCAGCAGTCATGTTATTATTATTTTCAGGGCAGATTAGGTTTTTGTCCTCAGGCTTTTCTTTTCCTTGTGCACGATATTTAATAAACCACTTTGTGGCCAGAATATATAGGATGAAATAGAGTAGAGGGCAACTGGGGGATTTTCTCCAAACATAGCAGCAGGCAGTTGGGGATTTATGAGTTTAGGGGAGGGACCTCACTTGTTAGCCATCCTTGGGAGCTCTGCCTAGTGGCCTGGCAAAGTAGCAGTTTTCCAATGGCTTTGTGGAGAGTGTCCAAACTCCTGGAACGTATTATTACCAGAGGGTTTTATAGTCTTTTCTCATTGCAGATTTTAAAGGAAAATGTAGTCTGAATGCTAGAATGGAGGAGTTAAAGGACTGTAGAAATCATATAGTCCCACCCCTAACTCAACAAATGAGAAGCTAAATCCTGGAGAGATTAACGAATTTCGTAGTACACAACTCTGAGGCAGCTGGGGGCTAGACTCAAGTATCCTGACTGCCAACACCTATTCACTCCCTTGCCCTAATTCATCCTACAGCCTTCACTTGTATTCTTCCAGTTGATTGATGGATTCAGCAGCACCTACTAAGTGTATGCTCTACTCTACAGCCCTGTTCCAGGTTCAGAGATGAGATGCGGTCCCTGCCCTCCAGGACCCTATAGCATTGTCTTGGAGGAAACCAGCATCTGAACAGATAATTGCTGTTCAATGTGCTGTTTTAGGAGAGAAATGGGCAGAGGATACTAGGATAACAGGATAGTATAACGCGCAACTGGAAAGGGCTGGGGAGAGTTTCCCAGAGGAGGTAACATTTGAATTGAAACTTGAAGGATAAATAAGAGCTGTAGTGTAGAGATGAAGTAGCAGTACGTACTGTGCAGAGGGAGTGCCGGGTCTTCAGACAAAGAGGTCATGCAGATTTTTATGCGGAGTACTGGTGAGCCAGGGTGTGGTAAGAAGTGGCAGGAGGTATGTTTGGACAGGGAAGTTGGGACCCATTTGGTTGAGACATGTTTGGACAGGGAAGCTGGTGATGACGGTCTCTGGGTGTCGTACCAAGGAGTTTAGAATGTATCCATAAGCAATTGGGAAAGGCGGTGTTTTTAGGTAGAGGTGGTATATGGATGTCTAACAGCTGGTTTTGGTGGCAGTGCAGGATGAATTCGAAGAAAGGGAGACCGAGGCCACAAGGAGCTCCAGGGATGCTTTCAGTAGTCCAGATCGGAATTGGTGAGGGTGGCCGAAGCTTGGGCAGTGAGAACAGAGGAGCATTATATGCTAAGAGAGATAGGGAAATAGAATTGATAGGGATTAGTTAGATACAGAAGTTCTGGAACAGGGATGATGGAAATAAGGCAATTACGAATCAAGCTCTCAGGAGAGAAATGGGGTCTGAAGATCACATTTTGGGAGTCAGAAATGTTTAGATGTTGCTGACTTTGAAGGAGGAGCAGGGAACATGAACAAAGAAGACACATGGCCACTGCCTGTTATTGGATATGTCATTCTCACGAAGGGTTTTATTTATATGCTTCTAAATTGATCAAGGGTTTCCCCAAGCGACCTCAGTGGCTATGTGCAGGACATGCCTTGGCTGGACCTCTTCTGAAAAAGGAGAGGCTGGAGCTTGCCAGAGGGAGAGTGGCTTGATTTGCCACTGACTTCCCAACGCTGACATATTTCCCCACATTAGGCTGAGAATGCCAGCTCTGAAGCAGCATAACCATCTGTGAGACCTCGGCCAGGCAGAAGAACGCATCCTCCCTAAGTGTGCATAACCCGACTCCTCCCAGGAACCTAAGGTGGGCCCCAGGAGGCTCTTCTTCCCCCTTTGTAGCTCCTTGTGTCGTAAATGATCAAATCCCTGGTATTTGCATCACAGTAATTTACTACAGTTGTTTAAAATGAGCCATGATGTTATTCCACTGTCAAACCAGAGTTTGGATTATTGTATTTCACCCTTTTTCCCAATAATTTAACTCATCCTCTAGAGCTTGATAGAGGGGAAACTATCCTGAAATGAAATCCACTTCCTCTTCTTTGCTTTACTATTTGTAAAGTAATATACATACTATGCAATGCATACAGTGGATCACTTTGCCTTTTGTCATTTGGTAATAGGTGTGATGTGAGGTGGGAGAAATGGTCAGGGGAGGAGGGAAACACTTTTTGGAGATCATTTGTCTCAAAGTTATGACGTTAGAAAGAAGAAGAAATGTGTGAGGGATTTGAGCTGACTGCCAGGCTTGGCAGCCGGCTTGATGTGACGCATCAAATGTTTCAGGAGACGTAACAGAGAGGCCATTGAGGCTGGGCCCCAGAGCCACAAGGCCCCTTTGTGAGCAGAGCCATGGCTAGCCAGCATGGCTCCAGCGGTGCAGCCCTTGGCTGACTGGGTAAACAATGTTGCATCCACACCAGCCCTGCTTCAGACACATTTAATGTGGCCTGAACTCCAAGGATTGGACCTGAAACTCAGTAGCATGTGATGTTCAGCTTACCTGTGACCCAGAAGACAAGGAGGGCCCCTTTCATTTCACTGACACATTATCTTGTGCTTCAGAAGTTATCTGTTTGTCATTGATCATGATGGTTTAGGGAGCTGCAGGCTGTTGTGTACATACAACCACATAGACCCCTGGACTAGAAGGAGATGCCTCTGATGTACGTCATGGAGTCCATCTCCCTGGCTGGTGCTGCAGATGTGGGCTCAGTGTGTAATGAATATTCAGTACTTTGGTCCAATCCATTACATTGTTGAGACTTCACTCCTTTTTGCCTAGAAGCAGAAAACTCCAAAGAGACAAGTGATAGAACTTATGAGAAGAATAAGAATTTGAATTTTTTGTGATCACTCCTGACTCACTGTAGCTTACAAATTCTCTCACCTACTCTGATGCCCTAAAGATGGAGATTTCTGGTGGGTGATTGTAAAGCCTGTTAGACTTCTTTCATGAGAACCCCCTGGGAGAGGCCCAAGGCCTTGATCTCATTGACTTGAGCCACCTTGGCCCATGTGGGCGAGCTACTGTGGCTGGTGGGGACGGGAGCACTAAGGCAGTAGGGGCCTGCAGGAACATGTGCTGGCTAGGGATCAAGGCTCTGGTTTGCTCTTGTTCCATTACACTTTTTCCTCAACCTGAAAGTGGAAATGGATAAGAATGAGGACAAGATGGAAATTAGAGGGATTGTTACTGTGGAGAATTATGACTGCCACCCCCAGCCCAGCAAAGGCAAGCATTTGGATATTAATTCTGACTCTTTGTAGAAACAGACCACTTCTAGAAGTAGTGACTTGGCTTATGCAATCTGCCTTGTTAATGGAAATGAATGCGTGAATGAATACCAAGGGATGATCTGATTTTTATCAAAGTAGTTTGGAGTACATTAGTCAATATGCATGTTTGTTTTCCAAAGAAATCTATCCATATTTCAAAAAACTGGGGAACTAGAGATGCTAAAAAATTACTTACAATATTCTACTTTCCCAAGGCACCTGCTAACATTTTTCCTGTACAAATTAATTTTTTCACATTATAATCATAACTTATATTGTTTGGTATTCCAGCCTTTTAAAGATAGCATTGTATCACAAGCTTTTTTCCACAATCCTTTATTTTTTCAAAACCAACATTTTTATTGCTGCATAATATTTCATAAAGTATACCATTTATAACATTTTCTCCAGAATAGAGCGAACATCATCATGCATACCAAATTATCTGTGTTTTTTCTTACTTCCCTAGGAATCATTGTTTAGAAATAAATTTTTTGGGTAAATTATAATGAACATTTAATAGCTTCTAATGCCAGATAACTTTGTAAAAATATTACAATGCCTGTTTTACTTCACTTTGAAAAATGTTAGTCATTATATCATTATAATTACAAAATCTTTGCTAATTTAATAGGCAAATAGTGTGTTGTTCTTGTTGTCTTGAGATGCCTGTCACTCAGGCTGGAGTGCAGTAGCACAATCACAGCTCACTGCAACCTCTGCCTTCCAGGCTCAAGCGATCCTCCCACCTTAGCCACCCCGGTAACTGGGACTACAGGCATGTGTCACCATGCCCAACTAATTTTTGTAATTTTTTTGGTAGAGATGGGGTTTCACCATGTTGGCAAGGCTTCGACCTCCTGGGCTCAAGCAGTCTACTCACCTTGGCCTCCTAAAGTGTTAGGATTACAGGTGTGAATCACTGTACCCCACCCACAAATAGTCTTAACTTCCTATTTGAACTTGTCCTAGCTAGCTAGGTTAATTTTGGGAGGAGGGGAGTATGTTTTGCTGTTTAGATTTATTTGGTCTCAAAAATTGGCTTTTTATGTTTCTTATTTATGAGATACATATATTTTAATGGATTCAGCATAAACTAAAGTCTGTTTTCTCATGCTTGCTCTAATTTTCCATTTTCTAGAACTCCTTCTTCACCCTTAGTGGGGACAGTGGAGCAGTTGTGGTGGTGTAGCGGTAGCAGGAGGATGAAACCTTCACCAAATGCTTACTGTGTGCCAGGCACTTCGTGTGGGTTATTTACCTTCCTTAATCTTTACACTCAAAAGAGTGGGTACTATTAATTTCACAACTTTTACATATAATGAAAACTTAGGCTTAGAGAGGGAGGCTAACTTGGTCACGGCCAGCAGCTTGGAAGTGCAGGAGACAGGTGCAAACCTGGATTTCTTTGCTGCACACTGCGTCTCCCATGAGTGTAAAGGCTTGACCGCTGTACATTGCAGTGGAGCCACAGATTTAAGCTTTCACTTGGGGTCACTAAATCTGGTGAATTGCTAATCAGATTTACAGAATATATCACAGGTGATGTCCAGCCTGTGCTCTGCCCACCTTCTGTTTTTTTCAACAGGACCAGAATTCTGCTCAAGTATTCTAGACACTAGGAGGAAAGCTGTCTGGATACCTGTTTTTCTTTAGATATCTGGGAAGACTGTCAC